AAAAAAAAAAAAAAAGAATATTACCCTTCAGAGAACTCTAGGTTCCTATCTCCCCAATTCCCTTCCAACTTTCCCACATTCCTGATGGTTTCTCTCACTAGGATTTTAATTCAATAAGACTTTTAGTTCTTTGTTTCTCAAGCCTCAAGTCCCTGCTCTTGTTCTGTTTTCTTTGCCTGCTCTTTTCCTCTCAACAGAACAAAGACTGTACACGCATTTATGAGGTACTCTGCCAGTTGTACCTTATTAATTAATATGTGTACCGGATTTTTTGACTATATGTATTTACCAAAAAGCAATTATCTATATGTAGCCTAGTACATGGTAAATGTTCAATTTCCTAAATACTGACTTGGAGATTCTAGTTGTTGAACACAGATGCTTACATGTCTTTGACTTTGGTATTCCCCTCCTTTTTTGAAGAAAGGCATCCTTATTGCCAATGGAGCAGCTTTTGAGAACACTATACCCTGGATGAGGATGAGGACCCCATCTAGTCAGCCAGATGAGTCTCTTCAGCCCTGGATATCAGTGGGGTTTGTGCTACAACCACACTGCTACTCGTATTTACTTAATAAATGTATGCTGAATTGGACTGAGATAGCAACAAGCACCTTATTAACTAAGAATAGCTGAGGACCCAGCAGAGCAAATCTATTTCCAAGCCTCCCTGAACCTGATGGCCCATCCTTTCCCCACCAAACCTTTCTTAGCATTGATTTTACTCCCACACAAGGCACAGAGTCATTTCCTTCAGCTACTTGGCTCTTCTCCTGGTTGTTTGCTTTTGGGAAGGGAGTGGGGGATGACAGAAGGGAGGTAGATGTAAATCTAACAAACCAGTCTAAAGCTCTCTCCATTCTCACTTCAGTCCTTACCTCCACTTGCTCTGCCTATTTCAAATAACCAGTAGGAGCTAGGGTAAGGAAAATGCAGAGGGTGTGAATAGGTTAGAAGAGACCACAACAGGGGAAGGAAGACCCCTCACACACAAACCTGCTCCATCCTCATTAGCTCAGCTAGACAGAGAAAACTTCCTATTGAGATTTATCTGTGATCAGGGACTAGGTACAATTTTTGCCCAGGAGATGGAAAAAACTTTCAATGACACTCTGAAATGGTAAGACTTTGACATTTTATTAAGAAACATCTTTATTTTAAATGATAGTACAAAAATTATATATATAATATAGATCTGTATAAGTGTATATACACACAAATGATCACCCACACACACATACACACACCCTTCCTCATCAAAATCAAATCCTATTAAAATCCTAAATAAAAAAAGAGAAGTATATTTAAGTTTTCTTAAAACACACTGTACATAAAGCTGTCAGAAAACCTGAAAAACTGAGGACATTTTGAGAAGAATCTAGGGACCCCACCCACCCTCTTTCTCTCCTCCTCCAACATAAATGGCCTTGTCAGGAGGACAGGCCACAGGACAAAGCCAGAGAAGGGAGCTGCAGTCATTATTGTTGGTCAAGGAAGATGCCTGAAACCAACTAGGAAGCACAGGATATAGGGTATGACCTAGATTAATTCTCAGAAACAAACCACTTCAGAATAAACAGAAAATGCATGTAATAGGGAAGGAGGGGAGTGGAAAGAGGAAAGACAAGGCCCATAGATTAGAAATGACCAACTAATTAAGCTCTAGTGCCTGGGAAAGACTCAGTGAGATAAAAACAATGGGGTCACAGAAGCAGAAGTAGTTTAGAGGGGAAAGGGCGAGGGGGGGGGGCGGGGAGAGATAGGGAATCACAATTTCCTGCCATTAACCAGCCAAATTGCTACTGTAGAGTCTAGGAATGTCACCCCACCCACTAATCCTAGAGAGGCTCCAAAAAAAAAAAAAAGGCAGCAACAGAGGCTCAAAGCTACTTAATTCAAATTCATCCTTCTTATTCCTGCTCTCTTATTAAATATATTGGCATAGGAAACAGAGTACCAACTCCGAAAATATTCATCACATAAAATGGAGATAGGTAAGAGCCCTGAACAGCATATAGGTGGTGCTCACATATTCCATTCTAAAGCTCCTTTTCTGGCCATACAGAGATGTCTGCACAAGGAGGCCATTCTCCAGTAAATCTGGATAAAAACCGACTTCTACTCAATACCCAACTTTTGGGAAGAGTTTACTATATGCCTGAAATTTTCTAGCTCTGGAGATCCATAATGATGTTTGTTAGCAGAGAGCCACACAAACTTTCTCAAAACGATCATTTCTCAAAAAGATGAGATTTTGGGGCACCTGGGTGGCTCAGTCGTTCAGTGTCTGCCTTTGGCTCAGGTCATGATCCCGGGGTCCTGGGATCGAGCCCCACATCGGGCTCCCTGCTCAGCGGGGAGTCTGCTTCTCCCTCTCCCACCCCCCCTGCTTGTGTCCCCTCTCGCTGTGTCTCTCTCTGTCAAATAAATAAATAAAATCTTTAAAAAAAAAAAAAAAGATGAGATTTCTAACCTGGGAAAACAGATGTACAGAATGCCTGCTCCTTGTGCCGTGACCCCTTTATCTAAGGTTTCTTTCCTGTTCTGAGGTGTAAGAGAAAACCGCTGCCTAGAGGAGTGCATAGGAGGCTTGCTCTGAGAAAGGCAGCTCCGGCTTTACCCCTGACACTGCTCTGAACCGTTTAGCTCCCATGGTGTCATCATGCCACATGCTAAACAAATCTCTGTAAAGCCACATACTGGTTCTCCCTGGGGTTTACACCAGTTAGAGCACACCTCTCAGAGAAGGGCCAAAGTAAAGCTTTTTCTTCCTCAGCCCCTTTAGTGAAGCCACAGAAGCCCTCTTTAGCGTGTTTAATGAAATGAAAATATTTCCAGGTTATGCCAGGTACTTTACTACACTTGATCTTAGCCAAAAGGCCGAGAAGCGATACCAGGTACTTTAGAGCTGAACCTTAAATAAACAAAAAGTGGGAAAATCCGTATGTATTTATAAATGTACACACCAATATGCACCCAGCAAATGGGTATTAGAAGTGCCCTGGTCATGCAATACCGAACTTTGACTGTAGAGCCTTCTGGTAAATTCATTTCTTTTACATCAATATAAAGAAAGAAAGTACTTTTGTATGCCATAGATTTCTAACATTACTGAGCAGACACAAAAATTTTAATAATGCAATGGTAAGGCTGAAGAAGGGGGAAAGCCAAAGCCAAAAATACACATGGATCTGACAGAGAAAAAGAACATCTTTTAAGGCACTGAGTTCAAAACAGAAAACCTAAAGTCAAGTTCTCCCATATCTCCATTAAAAAACCTCAACTCTGCCATTACAATTAAAAGATCCCATAGAGGTAGTGATAGGAAGGGAACTGTACATTTTATATTTATAAGTAATTTCCCTGAAGCTAAGAACAAGAACAGAAATATTAGGACTTCTTTCTTTCTCTTTTTTCGGGGAAGACTTAAGACCAAAAGGCAAATGTAGAACCTAAAATTCATAAATTAATACTGATATTGTTAAGGCAGCTTTATTTTAAAGTAGGCAATCATCCTAGGTTCCAGGTTTCTCCTGCTTAAGTACCAATTCTGAACCACCTGTCTGTTATTTGATTCTCTGTAATCCAATCTCGCCAATAAACCAGTTGGGATCCATCAACCCAGAAGATCTAGCAACATTTTCCCAACTTCCACTGCTGATCCTGAAAGATGCAAAATCATAAAATGGTATTGCCATTAATGCATTTAATATTTCTGACTACTTCAAGGAATCCTGACCTGCCATTTTCTCCATGGCAATACAACTGGGGATCAGGGGTGCCTGGGTGGCTCAGTCATTAGGCGTCTGCCTTCGGCTCGGGTCACGATCCCAGGGTCCTGGGATCGAGCCCCGCATCGGGCTCCCTGCTCGGTGGGAAGCCTGCTTCTCCCTCTCCCACTGCCCCTGCTTGTGTTCCCTCTCTCGCTGTCTCTCTCTGTCAAAAAATTAAAAAATAAAAAATTTTTTAAAAAATAAACAACTGGGGATCAAATCCTATTTCCCTTCTCTGGGATGCTAAAAGGTATTTCAAGTAAATAACAACAAATACCTTTTTGGTACTCTTCCCTTTCCAGACATTTCTCTGTTCTCTTTCCCTAACCCAACTCCCTATCTCAGAGACTCCATCATCAAAAATGACTTGGACTGTATTAGAGATTTTTCTAGGTGAGAATGACAGCCTCCTACAGAAAGAGAATAATAATAATTTCTGAACAGTTCCCCAAAACAGTAGGGACTCTGTATGCTCAGCAGGGAGTGCTGGATGGCAACTCCTGCCCCTAGTCAGAAGCTACCCCAGAGAGAGAGGTGGCTGGGCCTGGATATCCTCTGCAGAGTTAACCTCCACCCCCTTAACAGGCAAGGGGGGAAAAAAAAGGAATTGAAGTCAATATATACACAAAGAACATAAACCAAACACATCTAAAATGACACTTGGTCCCTCTATCTCTATAGTTAAGCTAAGGCTCTGAAATGGCACATAATAGCAGCTTATTGTTAGCACCTGGTTCACAAAGGGACTCAGAAAAAAGAAAAACATGGCAAGCTGAAAAAGGACAATTTGACAGCAGATGGCACAATTTCACCCTAGCCCTTACCTAGGCTTCTCGTCATCCCCCAAAACCAAGAGTAATCTCTCAAGTCCATGGAGAAAACCTAGTTAAGGTGGCCAATAGCCAAGATTAATTTCAAACTGGTATTTTTGCTTGTAAGCCTCTAATAACAAATTTGTCATATTTGGTTTGGCGAGTTGTTTTAGGTCTATTTTGAGCCCCACATGATTCTGCACCTCTGGAAAACTGCAGCAAATTACTTCACTAATCAAGGTAAATAGAACCATGTTAACTGTCAAGTTTTATTCCAAATTAAAAATGTATGTTTTCCCCATGATTGCTAATTAAGAAAACTGTATTCTAAACAGTCATTCAAATGTTTACTTGGCACATCCTCTGGTTTCTTCTTCTAATTTACAATAAAGCAAGCAAGCAGGTCTAGAAAGATGGGGGCCCAATTTCAAAGACAGTAACTTCTGTAATGTAACCTCTCCACAACCTCTCTCTCTCCATCCATATCCCCTTTCTTTTAAAAAAACTCCAAACTGGTGCACAAAGAAAACCCAGCAACAAAACACTTTCCAGAAGTGTCTAGGCAAAGGGAGCAGGCATAGTGGTAGGGAAGGAAGTCAGGCAGATGAAGTCACTGAGCCAGAATTTTTGGTTCCTTACTTTATGGCACTTCTAGTTTTTCACTCCCTTTGCCAACACACACTGAGCACCTATAAGGCACAAAAGCTCTGCACAAAACCCAACCTTAAGGAAACAGAACCATTTGCTCATCCCAAGTCAAATAGAAACAAAACTCCACCAACACCCTCAGGACTCACCCCTCCCCCGACTTCTTTTTTTGCAATGAAGAGGGTACCATGTAAGCTCCACAGAAAGGCACACTTAGAAAACTCAACAAAATTTTATAAAATTAAAAAGTTGTTATTAAAGCTTGACATTATAGAAATAAATGTTTGGAAGCAAGTTGTTCTAGCAACAGACTATCCTCCTGATTTCAATTTTATAAAATCCAGCCAGAGCAAAGTTTATATCTCAAGACCAGATTGTTTCATAACCTCACAAGCCTCTTTCTGGCCACTTTCCAGCATTGTGGAAGCACAGCCTGGAGGATTTTGGATTTACATACACTTCTCCCACATAAACAAGTTTTCCTTCCTTTCCAGTTTTTAAATATTCCACTTCAGTTTCTTAAACTGGCATCTAACTTATGGACACATAATGGATGCAGAATTAGGCAACTATCAATTTCTTTTCAGTGAAATTAATTCAGGATAGAGGGGAATGCCTGCTCCTTTGCAAGTGGAATTTATTTCTTTCTCTTCCCAAAAGCTTGCTTCTAATCCACCTCCCAGTTAGTTTTCTTCTCTACCAGGTACACGTCATAAATCTAAGGCAAATTTTAAGGTCACTTGACGGTACACTTATTAAAGGCTCTGTGTGTCTCTACTAGGAATGTTATCTTAAAATCTTGATACAAAGTCAGTTATTTAAAACACAATCAACCCACAATATCCAGCATTCTTTTACCTCTAAGCTTAAAGCAATGATGTGAGCTAAGAAATTTGGTTCTTGTTCTTTTGGTCCCTCAAAAGAAGTATTCCCTAAATTTGGCTTTGAATTTTCCAGTTGCATAGCAAGCCTTCCTGAGCCCAAGCACTGTACCCTGCTATAGTTTTCTTCTTAAGGACATTCTTAATTTTTATACAATGTCCTGTCCTCTGTATTTTCTTTTAAAAAGAGGAAAAAGATGGACACAGTACAAGTTGTGGCCCTTGCACATTAAGATGAAACAGTTTCCAAGGAAACTCCAGGATGAGGCTCCATGGTCCCTCCTGCCCCAGTCACTTCTGTGTCTCTCTCTTCCATCTCCCCCTCTGTAACTACTACAGCATCTACCTCCGCCACCTCTTCAACCATGGTGAAATCAACTCCATTGGGCTGTTGTCGGGCCATGGCCTCTAGCTTGAGACGGTACTGTTCTGCCTCCTGTTCTTTCTTTAGGAGCTGGTGTCGGTATTCCTGAGCTCTTCGATTGGCCTCCTGGAGTTGCTGCTGGAGCAGCTCTCTTTCAGTGCCCTCCTGTAAAGGTAAACCATGTCACCACCAGGTAAGAATTCCTGATCCCAGAGTATCCAGAGAGCAGACAAAAACATAAAGAAGGGTTCAGGCCTTAAAAGTTTTGGCTTTTGATTCTTTCTCTTCTCTCTACTGCTCTAAAAACATTACCTTGCTCTCCTCCACACTGTTTGTCATCTCTTCTATTCTTGGTTTTTTAGTCAGAGGCAACTTCTCTGCTTCTTCCTCTTCTTCAATTACAGTTTCCTCTGCAACCTGACCAGCAGGTACAGTTAGAACTACAAGCCAAAGGACACCAATTGGAGGTGATGAATACATAGTAAAACAAAGAGGTTTTGTCTGCTTTATTATTTTTTTTTTAAGATTTTATTTTTATGTAACCTCTACACCCAATGTGGAGCTCGAACTTACTACTCCCAGATCAAGAATCGCAAGCTCTACCGACTGAGCCAGCCAGGTACCCCTGCTTACTTTAAATTACAAAATAAATTGAAATACATTAGCTGAAATCTTATTATTCATAATCTCTTTGGATTTTAGAATCAACAGGTAAAGCATGGCCCTACAGAGAGAAACAGAAAAGATTCGAGTATCAGATTTGGAAGGCATGCAGTTAACACACAGGTCTGAGGCTCTTATATACAAATGACTAACTCGGAGGGCACCTGGGTGGCTTAGTCGGTTAACTGTCTGCCTTTGGCTCAGGTCATGATCCCAGGGTCCTAGGATTGAGCCCCATATTGGGCTCCCTGCTCAGCGGGGAGTCTGCTTCTCCCTCTCTCTCTGCCACTCCCCCTGCTTGTGCTCTCTCACTCTCTCAAATAAATAAAATCTTTAAAAAAAAAAAAAAAGATGTCTAACTCTAGGGGCACCTGGGTAGCGCAGTTGGTTAAGCGTCCAACTCTTGATTTCAGCTCAGGTCATGATCTCAGGGTGGTGAGATCCAGCCCTGCACTGGGTTCCTCACTAAGTGTGGAGGTTGCTTAAGTTTCTCCCTCTCCCTCTGCCCACCCCCACCCCCACTTGCACACACGCTCACTCTCTCTTTCTCTCTCTAAAATAAAGAAATCTAACTCTAGGTTAAAAGCTATGGCCAATAAGCTTACAATTCCTTGGGGGTAACTTGGGTAACTTGTCTAATGAAGGCCTAATGTCTTTACATAAGATTATTTTTTTAGTATATGTGCTGCCAAAGCGAGCACTTTACATAAGATTTTTGAGAAACTTCCCATGAAAGCAGTTTGCCATTCACTATATCCAATTTAATTATTTCTCTTTTGTAGACAAATAAGAAAAGGGTCAACAAACACATCAATGCACTGCACATCTATCAGAATGGCTAAAATTAAAAAAAAATAGTGATAACACCAGATGCTGACATGGATGTGGCAAAACTGGATTATTCATAAATTGCTAGTGGGAATGTAAAATGGTACAGTCACTCTAGGAAATAGTTTGGCAGGTTCTCTGCCAAACTATTTACAAAATTAGACATGTTTACAAAACTAAACATGTACTTAGCATGCAACCCAGCAATTGCACCTTGGGGCATTTATCCCAGAGAACTGAAAATTTATGTTCCCACAAAACATGTACATTATTGGTCATAACAGCTTTATTCATAGATAGCCAAAAACGAGAAACAACTTAAATGTCCTTCAAGGAATGGTTAAACAAACTGTGGTAATCCATACCATGGATACTATTCAGCAATAAAAAGGAATGAACTATTGATAAAAACAAAAACTCAGATTTTAAGGGAATTATGCAAGAGAAGAAAAGCCAAGCTCAAAAGGTTCCATTTACATGATTCCATTTATATAATATTCTTGAAATGACAAAAGTATAGAGGTAGAAAACAAATAAGTTAGTGGTTGCCAGGGGCCAGGAATGGGGTGGGAAAGGAGGTAGCTGTGGATATAAAAGTGGCATAAGGGATCCTTGTGATGGAACTGTTCTCTCTCTTTTTTTAGAGAGAGAGTGAGCGACAGAGAGCATGAGCACGTGCGAGCAGGGGGTAGGCGGGGAGGCAAGTGCACCAGAGAGGGAGAGAATCTTAAGCAGACTCCACACTCTATGGAGCCCACATGGGGCTTGATTTCACCATCCTAATATCATAACTTGAGCCGAATCCAAGAGTTGGATACTTAACCAATTGAGCCACCCAGGTGCCCTGGAACTGTTCTTTGTCTTGACTGTGGTGGTGCTCACACAAATCTACACTTGTATTACACTGCATAGAACTAAGTGCACACACAAACACATAAATGAATGCATATAAAACTGGAAAAATCTCAATAAGGTTGGTGAATTGTATCAATGTCAATTTCCTGTCTGTGATATTGTATTACTGCAAAATGTTACCAATGGGGGAAACTGGGTGATAGGTATACTGGATCTCTCTGTATTATTTCTCACAACTGTACACACTGGGGCACCTGGGTGGCTCAGTCAGTTAAGTGTCTGACTCTTAATCTCAGCTCAGGTCTTGATCTCAGGTCGTGAGTTCAAGCCCCGCACTGGGCTCCACGCTGGACATGGAGCCTACTTAAAAAAACAAACTATACACATAGCTATAATGACCACAAAATAAAAAAGTTTAAAATTCTATTTAGGTTTTAGGGTACATTACGATTTTTGTTTAAAACAGAAAATTTACATAGTTATTTGGTTTGGTTGATTTAAAAATTAGCTTGTATTCCTTGGGTACTCATCAATTGATGGCAATAGAAAACAGCTTAGATACCTGCTAAATGGAAAAGGCAGTTTAGTCGGGATTTTAAAACTTCCTGCAGATAATTCACAAAATCTCAGCTTTCCTTCTTTGTGCCTGGTTAAATATATTTCTAAAAAGTAGTGTAAAACCTCAAATATTTTTCCCCTCAAAACAACTCCATTCTCATTTATTTAACTCCATTATTAACAGAGTTTCTCACCTACCCAACGAAGCCCCAAAACTTTAAACCATATTCACAAAAACATCAATAGTATATTTCCAAATAAAACTAGTAAGATTTTATGATACCAAAACTTGGATTATATAGGTGTTTTTTTTTTTTAATGTTTTATTTATTTGACAGAGAGAGAGAGCGAGAGCACAAGAGCATGAGCAGGGAGAGTGGGAGAGGGAAGAAGCAGGCTCCCCACTGAGTAGGGAGCTCAATATGGGGCTCAATCCCAGGACCCTGGGATCATGACCTGAGCCGAAGGCAGAAGCTTAACGGACTGAGACACCCAGGTGCCCCAATTATACAGGTTTAATGCCTACTTTTTCTTTCTATGCTACAAAGATCCACCAATTTAAATAGTTTGAAAATTATAAAATCCCCATCATTATATAGGCCAAATCAAAATTTTGGTGATTCAAATGCAATAAACCAACCCACCTCTTTCAAACTCCAATATATATATATATATATATTTGTTTGGAAGATATTCTTTATCCATTCATCTGTTGATGAACATCTTGGCTCTTTCATATTTTTTTTTAGACAAAGAGAAAGAGAGTGCAAGCAAAGTAGGAGGGGGGCAGAGGGAGCAGGAGAGAGAAACTTAAGCAGGCTCCATGCCCAGCATGGAGCTCAAGGAGGGGCTCAATCTCACCAACCTAAGATCATGACCTGAGCCAAAATCAAGAGTCACTTAACCAACTGAGCCACCAGGGGCCCCCAAACTCCAGTATTTTTAAGGAATGAGGTTGTAATGATTAGTTTCTCTTAAAAAAAAAATTACTGATATATTTCTTGAATAAGTAATACATTCATGTGGTTCAAAAATTAGAAGTTATGGGGCACCTGCGTGGCTCTGTCAGTTGAGCGTCTGCCTTTGGCTCAGATCATGAACTTATGGTCCCAGAATAAAGCCCCGCGTCAGGCTCCCTGCTCAGAGCGGGGTCTGCTTCTCCCTTTCCCTCTGCCTCCTCCCCCTGCTCATGCTCTGTCTCTCTCTCTCTCTCAAATACATAAATAAAATCTTTAAAAATATATTAAAAGTTACAAAAGCATATGTAGTGAAAAGTCTCCCGTCCATCCCCAGCTACCCAGGTGCCTTCTCAAGAGGCAACCAATGTTGTTTTGTTTTTGTTTTAAAGATTTTATTTATTTTACAGAGACAGAGAGAGAGAGGAAGAGAGAGAGAGCACAAGCAGAGGGAGCCGGAGAGGGAGAAGGAGGCTTCCCACTGAGCAGGGAGCCTGATGTGGGACTTGATCCCAGGACCCTGGGATCATGACCTGAGCCGAAGGCAGACAC